CAAGGTCCTTTTACGAAAATCTCTTAAACGCCCATTACTCATTACCAAATAAAGCTTTTGCTACAAAATTTGGCACAACTATTAGTTTGGTATACAAAAATTCCATTTCAAGATTTTTTCACGATCGGTCCATAACATGGGTGCGGTCGGTCCAATGCAAGTTTCCCTTCAGAAAATCACTTGAACACACATTACTTATTACTAAATTAAGATATAGATACAAAATTTGACTGATATAGCTTTTATGTACAGAAATTTTGCTTAAAGAATTTTTTACGATCGGTCTATAATTGGTCATATCTCCCATACTATGTCCTGCCCCTAAAAGCACTTTAACCGTATTTAACTAGTTGCATTATCAATTTGTGTAGAACAAAGTTATATATATGTATTTTGAAAAGCCTTAAATCTTTCACACACATGCACTTTATTAACCCTTTCATACCTATGCTTTATTTTACTTGTAAACTGTTGAAAATTTTCTGAATTGTAACAAAAATGATTTCTTTAGCATAAATTATACCTATTTAATATATCCACAATGTCCTTTTTCACATCAAGGACCTCGCACAATTGTGCGGCCTAGGTTATAAGCTCCGAAATAATTTTCAAAAAACACACATAATTTAAACGATTTTTATTTATAAATTACTTAAACTATGCAGGTATTTCATTGCATTAAAAAAAATAACTTTGGTAATAATAAGGAACATACAAAGAAATCAATTCTAGTTAAATTTAATAAACAACAAGTTAGAGTGCTATATTCGGCTGAGCCGAATCTTAAATACCCTCCACCAGCTACTTTTATATTAATACTTTTCTAATTGATCAAATATTTGTACAAATAAGTCTTCTCATGTCTTAAATAGAAAAATCCCAAGATTTTTCTATTTAAGACTTAGATCTATTACAATTCCAAGATTTATTGAACATTATAAACGCCATTTTCTTTTATATTTTTATAGTGCTTAGCAATATGCATGTGTGTGAAAGATTAAAGGATTTTGAAAATACATACATATATATAATTTTGTTCTACACAAATTGATAATGCAAATAGTTAAATAAGGTTAAAGCGCTTTTAGGGGCAGTTCCTAGTATGGGAGATAAGATCAATTATAGACCGATCGTAAAAAATTCTTTAAGCAAAATTTCTGTACATAAAAGCTATATTTCAGTCAAATTTTGTATCTATATCGTAATTTAGTATAGCTTTATTTGGTAATGAGTAATGTGCATTTAAGAGATTTTCGTAAAAGGACCTTGTATGGGGGCTATTACCAATTATGTATATAAAGACAAAATTTCAAAATTCTGTATCTATATTATTATTTGGTAATGAATATTGTTCATCTAAGTGATTTTCTGGAGGGGACCTAGAGCTATGACCATATATGGACCGATCGGGAAAAAATCACAGTAATATTTCTATGCATATGGGCAATACTTGTACCAAATTTTATATAGATATCTTAATTTAGTAATGAGTTATGCGCGTTTAAGTGATTTTCGGGCGGGGACCTTTTATGGGAGCTATGACCAATTATGGACCGATCGGAAAAAACTTTCAGAGTAATATTTCTATACATATGGGCAATACTAATACCAAATTTTATATGGATATCTTAATTTAGTAATGAGTTATGCGCGTTTAAGTGATTTTCGGGCGGGGACCTTTTATGAGAGCTATGACCAATTATGGACCGATCGGAAAAAACTTTCACAGTAATATTTCTATGCATATGGGCAATACTTATACCAAATTTTATATGGATATCTTAATTTAGTAATGAGTTATGCGCGTTTAAGTGTTTTTCGGGAGGGGACCTTGTATCGGAGCTACGACCAATTATGGACCGATCGGGAAAAAATTTCACAGTAACATTTCTGTGCATATGAGTAATACTTATACCAAATTTTATATGGATATCTTAATTTAGTAATGAGGTATGCGCGTTTAAGTGATTTTCGGGAGGGGACCTTGTATGGGAGCTATGACCAATTATGGACCGATTGGGAAGAAATTTCACAATAACATTTCTGTGCATATGAGTAATACTTATACCAAATTTTATATGGATATCTTAATTTAGTAGTGAGCTATGCGCGTTTAAGTGATTTTCGGGAGGGGACCTTGTATGGGAGCTACGACCAATTATGGACCGATCGGGAAAAAATTTCACAGTAACATTTCTGTGCATATGAGTAATACTTATACCAAATCTTATATGGATATCTTAATTTAGTAGTGAGCTATGCGCGTTTAAGTGATTTTCGGGAGGGGACCTTGTATGGGAGCTATGACCAATTATGGACATACATATATATAATTTTGTTCTACACAAATTGATAATGCAAATAGTTAAATAAGGTTAAAGCGCTTTTAGGGGCAGTTCCTAGTATGGGAGATAAGATCAATTATAGACCGATCGTAAAAAATTCTTTAAGCAAAATTTCTGTACATAAAAGCTATATTTCAGTCAAATTTTGTATCTATATCGTAATTTAGTATAGCTTTATTTGGTAATGAGTAATGTGCATTTAAGAGATTTTCGTAAAAGGACCTTGTATGGGGGCTATTACCAATTATGTATATAAAGACAAAATTTCAAAATTCTGTATCTATATTATTATTTGGTAATGAATATTGTTCATCTAAGTGATTTTCTGGAGGGGACCTAGAGCTATGACCATATATGGACCGATCGGGAAAAAATCACAGTAATATTTCTATGCATATGGGCAATACTTGTACCAAATTTTATATAGATATCTTAATTTAGTAATGAGTTATGCGCGTTTAAGTGATTTTCGGGCGGGGACCTTTTATGGGAGCTATGACCAATTATGGACCGATCGGAAAAAACTTTCAGAGTAATATTTCTATACATATGGGCAATACTAATACCAAATTTTATATGGATAACTTAATTTAGTAATGAGTTATGCGCGTTTAAGTGATTTTCGGGCGGGGACCTTTTATGAGAGCTATGACCAATTATGGACCGATCGGAAAAAACTTTCAGAGTAATATTTCTATACATATGGGCAATACTTATACCAAATTTTATATGGATATCTTAATTTAGTAATGAGTTATGCGCGTTTAAGTGATTTTCGGGAGAGGACCTTGTATGGGAGCTATGACCAATTATGGACCGATCGGAAAAAACTTTCACAGTAATATTTCTATGCATATGGGCAATACTTATACCAAATTTTATATGGATATCTTAATTTAGTAATGAGTTATGCGCGTTTAAGTGTTTTTCGGGAGGGGACCTTGTATCGGAGCTACGACCAATTATGGACCGATCGGGAAAAAATTTCACAGTAACATTTCTGTGCATATGAGTAATACTTATACCAAATTTTATATGGATATCTTAATTTAGTAATGAGGTATGCGCGTTTAAGTGATTTTCGGGAGGGGACCTTGTATGGGAGCTATGACCAATTATGGACCGATTGGGAAGAAATTTCACAATAACATTTCTGTGCATGTGAGTAATACTTATGCCAAATTTTATATGGATATCTTAATTTAGTAGTGAGCTATGCGCGTTTAAGTGATTTTCGGGAGGGGACCTTGTATGGGAGCTACGACCAATTATGGACCGATCGGGAAAAAATTTCACAGTAACATTTCTGTGCATATGAGTAATACTTATACCAAATCTTATATGGATATCTTAATTTAGTAGTGAGCTATGCGCGTTTAAGTGATTTTCGGGAGGGGACCTTGTATGGGAGCTATGACCAATTATGGACCGATCGGGAAAAAATTTTACAGTAACATTTTTGTGTATATGAGTATTACTTATACCAAATTTTATATGGATATCTTAATTTAGTAATGAGCTATGCGCGTTTAAGTGATTTTCGGGAGGGAACCTTGCATTTTCCGGAAATATGTACTTTTGTATGGGAGGTATATGAAATTGTGGTCCGATTCTGGCAATTTTCAGCAGGGATCAAGCTCTTGTGTAAAGACGAATGCATGGTGATTTTCATGGAATTGCCTTGCATAGTTTTCGAGAAAATTACATCAGAATGTGTAAAAAAAGCTTATTCTTTTCGGAGTTGTTTTAAATTTTGATTCATAACTTTTCCCGATGTGAACCGATTTTGCTCATTTTCAATACCAAACTGTACCGGATAATAGTGAATATTTTGGGTGAATTTGGTTAAATTATATTGCTTCGTTTTAACGTGAGCGTGTTTTACACAGACAGACAGACAGACAGACGGACGGACGGACGGACGGACGGACAGACGGACATAGCTAAATCGACTCAGAATTTGATAAGGACCCAGAATATATATACTTTGTTGGGTCTCAGATGAATATTTCTTGGTGTTACACACGGAATGATAAAGTTATATATACCCTCTATCACCACTGATGGTGGTGGAGGGTATAAAAATAAAAAGAAATTAGTAAAAATAATAATTCATATACTTAAATCATTATTTATAATGATATTTTTCGAAACAGTCTTTATTTTTTGCTAAACAAAGCGTTACTTTGCATTTTTGGCATCGTACTCTAGATCGACTTCCACAATTATTGCGGCATATTCTTGGCGGATCGTCAGAAAGTGTTGGCCAATGATCAAATCTGTCATATCTTATATCATCAGGTGCATCATGGGGGCGATATTTAGTACCATAGAAATCATTAGGCAGTTGAAATTTCTCCACATTTTCAGGAGCTTCAAATGAAGCAGCTAGCACAGTACCTAGCTCCATTTTGAATGTTAAAAATTACTTTGTTTTTGATTTTGGAAGCCCCATAAGTTCTGAATCTTTCCTATATTCCATCCTTGAATTATAGATTGCCAGATCAAGAAAGTGGAAAAAGACTTTGACAGTTCATTTCTTTGTTTTCATTTTAATTCTGTAATACTCTAGCATTTGGTCACACAAATCAACTCCACCCATAAATGCATTGTAGTTTTGAACTACAGCTGGTACTTGAACGGGACAACGACGTTTTAAATTTTTATTTCACCTATAGGATCTTTTCCGGTTGCACTAGAAGCAACAATTACGGCTTTGGTGTCCATCCACTTCACAACGGCTACATTGGAGTTTGCAAATTGAGAAATGTCACTTCGCTTCATGTCTTTGTCTAAAGGAAATTTTACACTTTTAGGTATTCTATTAGCCATAATTGTTCCTGTTCCTAGAAAACCCATTTGATGTAAGGCTTCTATGAGTGGGGTTGTTGTAAAAAATCGGTCGAAATAAATATGACTGCCCTTTGGTAAGTTTTTCACTAACCTAATAACTATTGATGGTCCATGTCCAAGGCCACAATCTTCAAATGTTCCTGCTCCTTGAAACACTTCAAAATCGACTACAACTCCACGGGAAGTTGCACATACTAGATTTTTCAATCCAACAGTTCGTGGTTTAGATCTGATTACCTGACGAGCAGGGCATCTTCCCGTATACGACATCATTTGTTCGTCAATTGAATTGTTTGTTATATCAGTAGCTAGTTCATTACACCGCTTTCTTACCGTATCAATGACTAATTGAACTCTCCAAAGTTTGTTTGTTGGGTTTGGTGCAGAGTAATCTTGAAAATGTATGTCTGATCGAAGTTGCAAGAATTTGTCTCGGGACATAGAGTTGAATATGGCAGGAATCTTGCATTCATTTGACCAGTACATTCTTATGGCTGGATAACCAAGGCAGCCCATTATAATTGAACATCCGTAGAATCTTTTAATGTCTGTTGGTACATAACGAACTTCCTCACCACGCTTACCCATTACATACATTTTAGTGTATTTTACAACATCTTCGTAATGCGATTCCGGAAAGTAGTTTTTAAAATATTCTAACGGCGTTTTCGAAGTTATATAATTTTGACAACTGGAAGTTCTAGGAAGTTCTGTATTCTGGAATGATATATTTTTCCATAATTCTGGCCTACTTAGTGTATTGGATTTGCCAATCGATGGCTGTTTTGACGTTGCACAGTGGTATAGGAAAAAAAAAGACGGAAATAATTCGGTAACTTCTAAGCGGTTAATCCGATTTTAATGAAATTTGGTATGCACAAAGAGGAGGTGTTGTCGAGTTTAGGTTTTGAATTTGGACCTTATAGGCCAACCAGGGGCCCGGCGGGGGGTCCTCAAATTAGGACACCTCGGCTATGTTAAATTTTTAAAACGATCCTATTTCTTCATTTGAGTTCCGATTTAAAAAAAATTTCGTATATAGAATCTCCTCATCGAGCACTATAAAAAATGGCAGTAAATTATCTCTTATAGTTTAGGAGATATTCGCATTTGAAAATTAACATTTTAAAATTTTTACCGTCCTTACTTTAGTTTTTTTGATAATAGCGGGTCCAAATATTCCCGATTTTCACCATTTTTTTTTATACGCTTTTCAACAAGTTTATATATCAAGCAGTGAAAGAATTATGTAAAAATCATGACTGAGTCCAAAGTTATAGGCATTTTAATTTAAAAAATAAAAAAAGGCGATTTTTTGTCATTTTTTTGGGAAAAAAGTATCTTTATACCCTCCACCACCATCAGTGGTGATAGAGGGTATATATAACTTTGTCATTCCGTGTGTAACACCAAGAAATATTCATCTGAGACCCAACAAAGTATATATATTCTGGGTCCTTATCAAATTCTGAGTCGATTTAGCTATGTCCGTCTGTCCGTCCGTCCGTCTGTCTGTCTGTCTGTCTGTCTGTCTGTCTGTGTAAAACACGCTCACGTTAAAACGAAGCAATATAATTTAACCAAATTCACCCAAAATATTCACTATTATCCGGTACAGTTTGGTATTGAAAATGAGCAAAATCGGTTCACATCGGGAAAAGTTATGAATCAAAATTTAAAACAACTCCGAAAAAAATAAGCATTTTTTACACATTCTGATGTAATTTTCTCGAAAACTATGCAAGGCAATTCCATGAAAATCGCCATACATTCGTCTTTACACAAGAGCTTGATCCCTGCTGAAAATTGCCAGAATCGGACCACAATTTCATATACCTCCCATACAAAAGTACATATTCCAGGAAAATGCAAGGTTCCCTCCCGAAAATCACTTAAACGCGCATAGCTCATTACTAAATTAAGATATCCATATAAAATTTGGTATAAGTAATACTCATATACACAAAAATGTTATTGTGAAATTTTTTCCCGATCGGTCCATAATTGGTCATAGCTCCCATACAAGGTCCCCTCCCGAAAATCACTTAAACGCGCATAGCTCACTACTAAATTAAGATATCCATATAAAATTTGGTATAAGTATTACTCATATGCACAGAAATGTTACTGTGAAATTTCTTCCCAATCGGTCCATAATTGGTCATAGCTCCCATACAAGGTCCCCTCCCGAAAATCACTTAAACGCGCATACCTCATTACTAAATTAAGATATCCATATAAAATTTGGTATAAGTATTACTCATATGCACAGAAATGTTACTGTGAAATTTTTTCCCGATCGGTCCATAATTGGTCGTAGCTCCGATACAAGGTCCCCTCCCGAAAAACACTTAAACGCGCATAACTCATTACTAAATTAAGATATCCACATAAAATTTGCTATAAGTATTGCCCATATGCATAGAAATATTACTGTGAAAGTTTTTTCCGATCGGTCCATATTTGGTCATAGCTCCCATACAAGGTCCCCTCCCGAAAATCACTTAAAAGCGCATAACTCATTACTTAATTAAGATATCCATATAAAATTTGGTATAAGTATTTCCCATATGCATAGAAATATTACTGTGAAAGTTTTTTCCGATCGGTCCATAATTGGTCATAGCTCCCATACAAGGTCCCCTCCACTAAATTAAGATATCCATATAAAATTTGGTATTAGTATTGCCCATATGTATAGAAATATTACTCTGAAAGTTTTTTCCGATCGGTCCATAATTGGTCATAGCTCCCATAAAAGGTCCTCGCCCGAAAATCACTTAAACGCGCATAACTCATTACTAAATTAAGATATCTATATAAAATTTGGTACAAGTATTGCCCATATGCATAGAAATATTACTGTGATTTTTTCCCGATCGGTCCATATATGGTCATAGCTCTAGGTCCCCTCCAGAAAATCACTTAGATGAACAATATTCATTACCAAATAATAATATAGATACAGAATTTTGAAATTTTGTCTTTATATACATAATTGGTAATAGCCCCCATACAAGGTCCTTTTACGAAAATCTCTTAAATGCTCATTACCAAATAAAGCTATACTAAATTACGATATAGATACAAAATTTGACTGAAATATAGCTTTTATGTACAGAAATTTTGCTTAAATAATTTTTTACGATCGGTCTATAATTGATCTTATCTCCCATACTAGGAACTGCCCCTAAAAGCGCTTTAACCTTATTTAACTATTTGCATTATCAATTTGTGTAGAACAAAATTATATATATGTATGTATTTTCAAAATCCTTTAATCTTTCACACACATGCATATTGCTAAGCACTATAAAAATATAAAAGAAAATGGCGTTTATAATGTTCAATAAATCTTGGAATTGTAATAGATCTAAGTCTTAAATAGAAAAATCTTGGGATTTTTCTATTTAAGACATGAGAAGACTTATTTGTACAAATATTTGATCAATTAGAAAAGTATTAATATAAAAGTAGCTGGTGGAGGGTATTTAAGATTCGGCTCAGCCGAATATAGCACTCTAACTTGTTTCTTTTTAAGTTATCTAAAAAGTTTCTAAGAAGATGTATATAGAATTTATACTTTTTGGAAAGCTGACTTTACATAAAGTACGATAAATGAAACAAAACCTAAAAATTTTTGATACCGAGGGGACCAGGTCCATCCAAAAAAACCCTATTTTTTATGGAAAATTCAATTTTGTGCAAAAATTCTCAAATCGTATAGTCGATATCAAATTATAGTGACCTGTTTTATATGACCCAATATGTTCTTAATCATTTTGTAACGGGTTTCGATAACCCCGCCCCTGGTATGTATATAATAGGCAAAAAACAAAAAAATCCCATTTTTTGGATTTTTTAAAACTTTTTTGGGAATTCCGGGATTTCTAATAAGAAAATTCGAAATTTTTATTAAATTTTGGATTTTAAGTAAAAAAATCTTCTCTATCACCTGTATTCATATCTTCTCTATCTCCTGTATTTACATTTAAAGCGGTCAAAATTTCATCAGCATCATCGTCTTCACGGAAGTCAGCATCGGACTCGTCTAAAATGTCCAGAACTGCTTCAATATCGTCGTTTTTACTCAAATCAAACAACTTTCCTAGAAAAAAAATCGTATGATAGCACAAACGTGAGCACAAAATGAAATGTTATGTTGTGCCTGATCAACACAATGGTGATATCTGTATTTCATTTCACCATAATTTATAGTAGCATTGATTTTTTTTACTTAAAAACAACAGAATAGTTGCACAATATCAACGTACAGTTACCACCAGGAAAATTTTTAATTTATTTGCAAAAAGTAACAAAAAAAACACTCACCGCGTGGACGCATGCTTACACTTGTTGAAAGACACAATCAAACTGAAGTCAAAACTAATAATTTGGTTCATCCCCTTCTTTTCTTTCTTTTGTTTTTAGAGAGAAAATAACTACACACAATCATTGCTTTCAGGTTAACAGACAAAAAATATTTTTTCTTGTAATTTTAACTAAAAAAAGACAGATCTCACAATTGATATAGCTGGGTCTGAAAGGGTTAAATATCGTTAAAGCATATTTTAGGGCGCTATAAAAATATAAAAGAAAATGTAATGTTCAATAAATTTTGGAATTGTAACAGATTTAAGCTGTTTATTTAAGACATGAGAAAACTTATTTCTACAAATATTTGATCAATTAAAAAAGTATTAACATAAAAGTAGCTGGTGGAGGGTATTTAAGATTCGTCTCAGCCGAATATAGCACTAAATAAATTTAAGACGAAGTTCTTTACATTTTTCAAGAACTGATGTAACTTAAATAGCAGGGTTACCAACTGTTATAATATACATTAGAGTTTTTCAAGAAATTGTAATTTCTAATATCAAAATTCGTTCGATATGATGTCTAAAAATTAGATAGTTAAATAGGTTAAAAAAATTAGCTTGCTGAAGGAGGGCATTTAAGATTCAGCATAGCCGAATATAGCAGTCTAACTTATTATTAAAAAAAATAAAACAACCTCTTTGTAAGAGAAATTACAAGTACTTCCTTATCTCCCTATTTGTAGCGAGCGTGGAAGTACTTGCCTCCAATGACACCATCATGTTAAAATGATGGCTTAAAATTAGAGTTTGGGATTCGGGAAATCCCGTCCGGGAATTCCCGGGACCTAATGTTTTTTAAGTGACAAATTAATTAGGGAAAACTCAACATCTTTTAGAAAATTTACATAGCACTATTATTTTCATCCATAAGGTTAACTCTTAAATTTGTTACATATATGGATGAAAATAATAGTGCTAGGTAAATTTTCTAAAAGATGTTTAGTTTTTCCTAATTAATTTGTCACTTAAAAAACATTAGGTAGGCATGTTATATATCAATGGAAAGGTAATTTTGTCTATAAAACTGTATATAATTTTTGCAAATTAAAAAATTCGCGGAATACTTTTAAAAAAAAATTAAAAAATGTTTTTTATTCAGTTTTTGCGAAGATACAAATTTTTCAAATTGCAATAAAAATTTTATTTATGAATATTTTTTGATGAAATTTTACAGTTAGGTAGATTTTTTTACTTAAAATCCAAAATTAAATAAAAATT